ATGGTTAAGTCATACCGTATTTATTAAATGCCTATAGCGGCATGCAAATAAATGGCAATAAATGAAAAGAAACAAAAACCGCTTTCGCTTTTCCTCTGATTCACTTTTCGAAACATGTCGGATTAATACTCGAAACGTTGATGGCTTTGAGGTGCCATAATCTACCGAGATGAAATTTCGGATGAATATCTGAAGGCGTAATGCATTCAGAAAAATAAAATTTAAAAGAATATGTCTGGTTTATTTACAGCAAAGAAAAAAAATATAAATAATCAAAAAATCGTACTCGCGCTTTCGGTTTCGGTGAATTCATTAATTCCATCGTAAGATTTAAAAACGCCCGTGATATCAACTCATGACAAATATGGTGACCTTTTAGTGGAATGAACATATTTTTTAAAGCATACAGTTTTAACTCTGATATACAGATTCTAGTAATATTATTTTCCTTGTTAATAGCCGCACAATTCTCTATAGATCTTTCAAATTAAAGCGGAAAGACCCATTTATTGTGGTTTCTTATAAAAAGTATACATTTTTTTTGTACATAATTTGTATTGTAATTATATAAGTGTTGCAATAAATAATAAAATTATAATTGATTTTTTGTTTTACAATATATTTATTGTGATTAAACAATGAATAATCGAACAATAATTTTTAGATATTTTATTTAAAATTTGTTTATAATCAAATTAAATAGTACAATATCTTGTTTGTATGCAATCCTATTGTATTCTAAATGATATTAAATTTAATTTTATTGACAAAGTGATTCGTTATTAAAATATTCCTATTGATATATTCAATTTCTCCAGTGATGAAATGCATTGAAGACAATCAAATTTTCATTTTTAAATCTGTAACATCGAAAAAAAAAAGACAATCGGTATTGTCATTGAAATTTATTACTTATATTAACGAATTTAAATACTTGCAAAATCTTTTAGTTGGTTTGATATAATTATTTTCGATATTGAAGTAGCTAAATATATATATTTGATATTACTGTCATCATTTGGGGTTTCTAGAGCATCAAGGGCGGTTTTGCTCATGGTCTTTATGGGCCTGGTTCAACTAACCCAAACCCTTAATTATTAATTCAGTACCTCCAAACAGTGTTAGTCGAGAACCCCAAAATTGTGTGAGTCAAGGCTCCCCAAAGTTAGTTAACCAAGAGTCTCCAAACAGTGTTAATCGAGGGCCCCAAAATTGTGTTAGTCGAGGCACCCAAACATAGTTAGCCCAGAGTCTCCAAATTTGTGTGCGTCGAGGCACCCGAAGTTAGCCTAGAGCAGTGATTCCCAAAGTGTTCTATATCGACCCCCAGGGGTCTATGACAACCTGCAAAGGGCTATGTCAGCGAAAAAAAATTTGGGGGTTCATGAAATGAAAATGGGGGTCCACGATAGTGGATCTCAACATACACTGACTGTACCTATTTACTTACATTATACTATCTTATAATATAAAGACATATACATTATTTATAAAAGCACATATGAAGTAAAAAAATATTATATATGTTTATAAAATTGTGTATGTTGTAGGATGTAGGCATTCGCTTTCTGGTCGCAATACATTTTGAACATGTAAAAATCTGCACATAATGATATACCAGTATCATCTTGTTACAAGCATATGCGCAGTCTCAGAGCAAAGATCTTAATAATTATAAAGATGTCCCAATATAAATAATAAATTTACAAAACCGAAAAACATGACAAGTGGTCTACGACACAAAAAAGTTTGGGAATCACTGGCCTAGAGTCTCCAAATATTGTTAAACGAGTGCCCTAAACATAGTTAGCTCAGAGTCTCCAAACAGTCTTAGTCCAGGTCCGCACTTTTACGGATCCAATTTAGGTACTCCACATTTCCACTTACAATAAAAATTCTAAACTTTGTAGATGTTAGATTATACATATTTTTATGTAATTGAAAGAGAAGAATTATTTTTTAAATTGAGATTCTTGAGATTTTCGAAAATGAATATTTTCGACTATATTTTATCAATTCTTGATTATGCACAAATAATCATGTTATCACCGATAAAGATATTGATTTCCATTTTAATATGATTGAACTTTAAGAATTATTAAGTGTTTAATTATACTCTAAATTTTAAAGTTTAGATTTTTAAATAATTTTAAAATTTAATTTTACTAGCATTATCTAGCAAATATCAAATTTTAGTTACATTTATCATAAAGTTAATAGTGAAACTAATACACAATCGTTAACATATTTATTATTAAATGAGTATATTACATAAATAATAATAAAAATTATAATTAGCATCAGTTAGTTGCAATACCAATATAATTATAAACAAGTTTTATAGCAATCCTTTAATTTAACATTGGTATTAAATGTATATGGAAAAGTACGTAATAATCCTGTTATATTTAACGGACTTAGTGCATCTAAAGGTATAAGTGCGTTGCGTTATTCTCTAAAGCTCTAGTAATGTTGAAAGGGGCTAGGCCCTGCCTGATACCATTTGAAATATCGTTATTAACAACGGTTTAACGCGATGCGAAAATTAATGCCGTCTACAATTAATCGTGCGTGACTTCTTTGAGGAAAATGCTAATGCAAAGACTAATTAGCTGGTAGTGTGCTTAGGAGTGCATAAGTTCATTAATAAGTCAAGCGTGCTTTCATCTTACTTGTAGAAGGAGAGATTATCCAAGGAGAATGGAGACGGATTCAGAAAAGAGCGCCGAACACCCATATACACAAGATGCTTGTAAATTAATCCCCTCGTGAAAATAAACGAAGAGGCATCATATTTCTTGCATATTGGTTTTATTAACATCATAATCAATATTCTGGTTTTATTATTATTAATTTTTGAAAAACTTGAAATTAAGTTTATCTTAAGATCTCTTCCAAGAAGTAAACCTCGGTATTAAGACAAGAGCTTCGTTTGGCGCGATGCCAAAGGCATGTTTAATCTACAAGATAATGCAGTTTATGAACAATTTATTAAATTATAATTATATTATACTTAGATATTCTTAATAATATAATCATAGTATTTAAACATGTTATATTTATACTAAAAAAAGTTTAAATTAAGATTAACTGAAAGCAAAATTGAGTTCAATAACGATGTCTATACTTAGGTCAATAACTTATTGGATTGTCGTTGAGTAACATCGTAGCATCGTTATTATTAAAGTAATAATATCTCAACCGCATTTATTATGAAAACTGCAGAAGAACTGACGTGGAACGTTCTTCTTTCTGCGCTATTATCCAAAGTAGACATGAAATTCTAGTTAAATGGTGTGTTAGAAAATGCGGACAAGATTTGAGCCGTATCTCAAGACATTTAAATCCGGGATTTATGTCCGTGCTATTACATAAACTCGACGCCCATCGCAGCTACCAATATAGACGTTTATTGAATACCCGGCATCGTTTACTATAATTGATATACATCAAGAGATGGCCGAAGCAAAACAACAACAACAGTAGTAGTTGTGTAAATATTTGCTATTATATTTTAAAAATTAACATATTTTACAAATTACGTAAAATACAAATGTAAACAGATTGGTTAATAGAAGACGATTAAATTGAGAATACGATTTCTTGGAAGCGCATTACTATTATAACTTCAATAACATAATAGCTAATATGTATACGTGATCGAGACAAATCACTTAGGTATTTGTAATTATCTTTGATGTCGGATGCGATAATTGTATACGGGAAATTCCAATTTCTTAACAATATTTCGAACAATATTTACGACGTTACAGGTTTTTTTCAGTATAATAATTGGGATAATCAAATCAATAATCTTCTATTTTTATATTAACTAAAAAAATAATTATCAATCATTAAATTTTACTGAAATTATTCAATAAAATTACATTTTTTTTATATAATTTTAATTAACAGTGAATACTTGTAAAATTGAATCAATTTTAAACTCAATTAAAAAAAAATCTGAAACTGTTCTATATATTTAAATAACTTTGACATCTAAATATTATCTGTGAGTTCATCGTATTCTTGTATGTAAATGATACTTTAAAAATCGAAATTCGAATAGTAATTAATAGGTGTTTCGACCATAATAAATTTAAACTAATTTATGTTGTAGTGCACTTAATCATGTCGGCATTTTCTAAACTATTTTCGTAATAAACAGGATTGGGCTTAATGGAATACACATTATACATGCGTTTAAATTCAAGAATTTCGGAATAAGAAAGATACCAAAGGCAAGTTTTGAGATGCATTTATATATTGGGACATCTTAAAGAAATTAAAGCGGGAAAATTTGATCTATAATTACATTTATAATAAATAATTAGATAAATATATTTAAAATTTAAATACTTGTAATATCAAATAAAAAAGTATTATTAGTGATTCTATTTGTATACACATACTAAAACACTTTTTGCTATATTTAGCATATATGTAAAAGTATTGGATGAGAATGAATATTTACGTCTATATATAATTGAGTATATTCAAACAAATTTTATATATATAATGTATTCGTATTTAAATTAAATTTGATGCACAATTTAAACAATCTTAATGAATTTATAAGCATTGGTATTTAGTTCTTAAAACAAATATATTTATTTGCAAATGTGACGTAAGAAATCTTAGCTTATTAATGAAACATTCCATATATTCAATATATGCATAAATTTAAAAACAAGTTTTTTGTTGTCATTTAAAAGATTAGTGAAGTATTTGAGCCAACATTACTTTCAAATAAACCAATTTAAATTTAATTGACATATATGATTTACTAGAAATAATTCAATTATTATGTATGTAATAAAATGGTTTACGTCCTTAAGAAAGGAGTTGCTAATAGTAATGGGAATAATGGATATATTCAAATTACAGTATGAAATGTTGTTATTGAAGACTGGGTTATTATATATAATATGTTTATAATATTTGTTATATAGGTAACACTACACTTGTAGGAAATAAATGTGTGGAGTTCGCAGACTTACTTGAAGCACAAGTGTTAATCCTTTAAATGGAGAAGAAGCCACAACGACTGATGATGATAGATATTTGTGTAATAATCCGATAAGAGATTGAAGAAACTGCACACACAAAATTCGCAAAACCAGGAGCAACACAGATATTAAACGTATCACTAGAACGGGGATTCCCCGTTATCAGAAAATTTATTTGTAAGCAACGAAGTTTTGTAGCTGGGAGCGCGCGCGCGATTCGTACGCACCGGCAGCGGCCGCGATGGAACTGTTACATGAACAAATGTTGAGGGAAAAAGAACCGAAAGAAAGAAGTTAAAGTGCGCGCCCACAAGAGCAGTGGAACCAGAGCATGTGCGACTGGTAGAACCTCGCTCTCTTCTGATTCCGACTGTGCTTGAGTCGCGTCGTGCGGTGTGCTCCACCCTCGAACCTCACGACGATCATCGGATCCGTGGTTTCCCTGACTCTTCGCGCTCTTCACCGACGACTATGATGACGACGAAGACGACGACAACCATCACCACCAAACTCTCCTAACAGTCTCACGTTAGAAACAACATAGAGAAAGAGAAAGAGGCCAGAACCATAGAATGAGAGAGTCTGAGAGCACGCTGGTACCGTTACCTCCTCACGAAATGACCACCGTCGAATCGATCGATCTCTATACTTACACACAGCCGAACACTATATTTTTATTGCTATCCGCTGGTTTCGTTCTCTCATCTCTCTTTCTCTCATCTTGCTCCTTTTTCCCGCTGTCGTTGTTCTCCGCTTGCCGTTGTTGCTGGCTTTCGACTCTTTTTTTGTTTGTGCTTTTGTTCGATCTGCAATGCTTTGTTGTTCGCAAGCTATTTGCTATTTGCCATTTGCGCACGTGTTTCAAGATCGCATGCCAAATCTGATTACTATTTCAAGCCAGGATCTTGCGGCTTTGGCTTCCCAATCAATAACTCCGATGGCACGACTTGTTTCTTATTCAAATTGCCCGGCGATTAATCAAATTTCTACTCGCTCTGGATCGCGGATTATGGAATCACAGCATCTACAATCTTTTGCTTTTGGCTACCTCGAATAAGCACGTCTAGAGAATTTGTTACGTTTATAGAAAAGTTCAATGTTGCATTCTATGAATTCAAGAACACCTTAATATAGATTGCATATCACAAGAGTAAAGAGTATACTTCACAATTGATTTAACCTAGAATTCTAGAAATAAACTATATCATGAAAGGTGTAGTACTTTAATATTAACTTAATGTAAGTTGTATATCACTAGAGTAGACCTGATATTATCATCATATATTAAATTTGATAAAAACATACTTCTAATTAATTATAACATAGAAGTTTTCACTCCATTTGTTTCACTCCAAATGTTTGTTTTATAGGATATAACTAGTTCGAATGTTTCCTGCTTTCTCAACTCATTTTACTATTAATAATTAATTCACTTTTGAAAATCTACATAGTGAATGAATATATTGAAAATAATATGTTTAACGCATTATTAATTGTCGAGTTTTCTTATTTTCTCTTCACCGGTTACAATCCTCCAATATATAAAATAGTTCCTTCTCAATTGGCTCAATGGCGTTATTAATTATTGGAAAGGCCTGCTGATATTTCCATAGTTCAATGTTTCAAACATTCCTTACTAATAAAACGCTTGTGTTCGTAGCAAAGTGTTGAATTCATGCTGAGAGGTTGAATGCATTAAAAAAGCTTAATAAGTTTTCAATAATGATCTACCCTTTACTCTATCATAAAGAAAACACAATAATCTACTACTACTTTCTGCAATTCTTTGAAATAATTTCATATTTTCAATAATAATGTTATTAAAATTTAAAAAAAAAAATTGGAAACGCAGAACAAAATCAGTTTTTTTAAATTTTATGTAATTATTAAATTTCATACAATTTTTGTACTATTGTATAAAAAAATAAATATGTAAAATGATAAATTTGATTTGACTGATGTATGGAGATTAGTTTTGTGATTCGGTGTTGGAGTACCAACGAAATCTGTTCACGATCAATGGGGAAGGTTCGTTGATCTTTCGAGATGGATGTTCAAAGAGTGCTCAAATTATTGAACTCTGAAGAAGGAATTACCTTCGGATGTCCCAATAGATTCAAACCGTATTCATAAATGAAATTCTAGCAATGCATCGTAATAAGTACCTATATTCTGAATGATACATTCACGTTGTGCAACGAATAACTGTCTTTCATTGTATTAAGCTTTTAAATCAGTAATTTACTTATCGAATATAATAATAAGTATGTATTAAAAAATATATATTTGTTCGCATGAAAAATATAATTTAGTAAGTTATTAGTATTTAAATAATTATTGTTAATTATAACAATTAAATATTCATTAATAAACAATAAATAAATCATATTTATTTAATTAAATAACAATTGACCATAGTTAAATATTTTATCGCTAAAAATACATTAATTAGATGTGTTTGAATTATATAACTTTTTACAATTTTACATATTTATCTATCAAACAATGCAGTTTTTTTTAAAGAATTAAAGTGACTTATGCACTGATTAACAATTTATTAGTCATAATAGTATGATACTATAACAATGTAAAAATCATAAAGCAAACAGAAGCGATATTTTTGTATTCATATCTGAAACGAAATAGTTTAGCTATGAAATCATACTGATGTATGATTTTTTTTTGTATTTATTAAGTTTAATATTAGTCAGTGCCAGGAAATAAATAATAAAATTATTGTTACTTATATAACATATTTTTTTTGTGAGGATATTTATGGGTTTAATATTATATATTTTGCTTACGAAAATATTTTCTGACGTTCTTTTTATGAATATTCAAATTAAGAATTGTTAGGTAGGTAAGACCCGACCTCTTAGCCAACCGAGATTTCGGGATGAAATTGGCAATTTCATGCGCCTTCGTGTAATGCGACCCGGTCTTCCTCGCCGGATAAAGGAAGGATCATCTATGATAATAAAGTTGCAAAGAATGTGATTCGTGCTTTAAATTTACATATTTCAATTTATGAGATAATCTGAAAAATATAAGAAAAAAAAAATAGGTTGAAAGATTTAGGTCAATAGCCTTTGGTCTAAATTAGCTCTAATAAAAATGTAGCAATACATTTACTAATTTATTTACTTTTACAATTTTTGTTATAAACTAATTTGTTTGATTGATTATCAATATATAACATTCTCCTATTTTTTAGTTAATTCTAAGAAAATTATACCTTTTGTGTATCTACAGAAAAATTAAGAAATTTTCGATCTAATTCAATTATATTCAAAAATAAAGTAACTATTTTATAAAGTTTTAAAAAGGACGTAAAACCTGCGGTCATTGGAACGTTGTAATTTTTCACCTACTTTATATTTCACACATTTTTTGTTCTGTTTACTTTTGTAATTTTATGATTATATATGAATAACATAAAAAAAATCTAAATACACGCAAGTAGATAATACGAGAGATCACAATACGCTACCTAAGACATGAAGCAGATATCTTAGATCAACATTTGCTATAGCAAATTGAAGAAAATGAATGAAGAACTTCCCGCGATAACGGCTCGAAGGATACCAACGGGATTCGGTTTGAGAAATAATCAAATAATGCATTTCTTATGATATTTATCACCACCAAGAAAATGAAAAATAAATATATAAGTTTAATTCTTAAAGGATACGGCATTAATTCAATAAGTTTATTTTAATAATAAATATTCATTACATTTATAAATATTCAGTATGTTTTCAAATGCTTACATTTATGAAAGACTTAATCCTTATAATTGCTTTTATAACACATATTTAATAACGTTTTACTAGAGAATTCAGTTTGAATTAACTATACAGTGAAACCTCGCTTAACGATCACCTCGCTTAACGATCACCTCGCTTAACGATCACCTCGCATAACGAGCATTTCGCTTAACGAATTGTAAGAAAAATATCTCGCTTAACGAGTGACGATGAGAAGAGAAGTCCCGGATTGCGCGCCTCCTCCATCATTTTTAAAACTTGTGTACACAAATGTGTATTTTTTTAATATGTTTCACTATACGAGTATTTCACTATACGAGTTAAAATCCGGAAATTTTGGAATGGATTAAAGTCGTTAAGCGAGGTTCCACTGAATTATATTAGGTTGATTAATAATTTAATTCTCAAATCAATAACTTTGATAATGAATAATTATTATTAATCAATGATTATACATGTTCTTGTCTACCTGCGATAATTATATAATATAAACAGTAACGATTGTACGATTATATAGTCTACATAAAAACATGTCATTTAATCCTGCTAAATTAATGAATGACTTGCGTTTTACAGAAAACACCGGGAGGTAGCTTTCAAAATATCCACGTCCGAAATACACGTTATCTACGATCTAAATAGTAACAAATTGTTTCGAAGGAAATAACTGTTAACACGACGTGATCTCCACGTAAAAGAAAGAAACTGGAAACACAGGAACCAAGATAGATCTGGCCCGGATAGCTAAGAACTCCTCCTTGTTATTCTCTTTCTGCTTATATGTGCAAATGTTGCGTATTTCGAGTAGCGATTTAGCGTAATTTAACTAAACTCCATTTATTACATTCAAATTACGTAATTACTCGTAGACCGGCAACATGGGAACACGGCTCGCTAATGATCCGGAAGCTCCGCAGGAAAATGAGCGGCCGCGAAAGGAGAAGAAGTATACCATCCTGCGGAGACTGCACTCTTCGCTTCCATATTTATGCATCGGGATGAATACATTGCATTTTAAATAGTTTCTCATCCTTTTCCACGCACTCGAATGTTCGTTTTCTCGGCTCCAAATTAATATCAATTAGATTAAGGATTGCTCATTCGAGCTGCTGCGTTTGCGATAAAGTGGATCTTATGTTGCACAATTCTGTTCCACTTCAATTTACAGTTTCCTACCGCAAATAATGATATACACATACACTCAAGATTTATGAAATACTTATGCATTTTTTTTATTAAAAGCTGAATGAAGACATTTTAACTGTATTTTCAACACTTTATTCGGATTAACGAAATATATAATTTATTTTTTTTTGTAACTTAATAATTCATGTTTCTAATTGTTCCACAATTAAATGGAAATCGCATAATGTAATGTTTGAAACCGGAGACTTGATTGTATAGAATTAAAAAGTACTCTTTTTTTTTATTATTTTTGCAAAGCAATCTCTCTACAAACACAAAAAAAAAGAAAAAGCAGATAACAAACTCTAGTTCTGGATTAATTAATGAAAAAATAAAAATGTATATTAGAGATTGATCCAGCGACCAAACTCCATAGAATGCTTATAAAAGAAAAACTCACGAACAAATACATGCAAATAAGTCTGATTGTCAATTTAGACATTATTAATACTAACTTAAAAGCGATTAGGTAGGTCCTATGGTTTAAATCGTTTCAATCTTTGTTGATGAGATTGAGTGTGTAAGCTCAGTGGCAAGTTGGTGATCATTATGATTACTGATTATTTATGTACAAAAA